TGCAACCTGACATTTGGCCTGATTGACTGAATATGAATTTTAGTGAAGATGCTTCCAGGCGGGGCAACTGCTTTACAAAATCAAGTGACAGAAACCTGTAAAACTGTTTCCTAAGCAGGATGGCCTCCCAACTAAAATGATTTTATTTCTTTAAATATTCATGATCTGGATATTAAACAACAAAATTCAACTCACACTTAAAATTCAACTCACACTTAAAATTCAACTCCTTATGTCCCTTACATGTTATTTTCCATCATACCAAAGAGGACTCTTGCCCAGGGTTATAAGAAGGTCATTCGAGCCACTTTATAGTTAAGAGCCACCTTAGAAATAAACTGTCTCTGGAGTCTACTGTTAATCTTGCTCTGTTTACGTACATATAACTTTTTGCGTTTCTTACAATTCTGAGCTTTAAATGGTTTCTTCTGGATGGTGACTTTGCTTCAACTCCAAATCTCTCTGAAGATATTGTGAATCCATCTCTCTTCTGTGTTTGCAACTCAAATGAAGACAAAGAACAAAGGTAGTAAAACATCTGGAACCCTGGAGACAGTACTCCTGGGTGGCACAATTTGGCTCAGATAAGAGCAATTTAATACATTATGCCAACCTAGGGAGTCACAGTGCCAGTCACTCAGAATGAGTCAACCCTTGGTAGGATATGTTTTAATGAAAACTTAGGCGGTGGCGCATGCCTGTTATCCCAGTGGCTCAGATGGCGGAGGCAGAGGCAGGAGGATCATGAGCAGGAGGATCCTGAGTTAAGCAACCCTGTCTTAATACAAAATAGGGCTAGGGATGTGGCTCAGTGCCGCTGAGTTTAATCCCCAGTAGTTAACCCCCCTCCCCAAAAAAAAGCTTAATAGATGTCATTTAATGGCAATTTTCTTTTGAGAGCAAATTGGTCTCTGAAACGTGCTCTAAGAACATGAAAAAAAATGCCTAATAGTTCAGGAGAAAATAAAAGCCTGTGGTTACCTCAGAGGTACTGGTATGCATTTAGCAATTTCTTTTTTCTAGATGCATACAGAAGCCAGGTCCACAAGACAATTGGTGGCCGTGGAGAAGCTCTCCCGGACTTGCTATAAGATTTGCTGCTGGAAAAAAAAAATGAGTGGCATTCACCAATATAAAAATGTTTCTAATAGAATATAAAAATCTGTTAAGCAATTTTCCAGTACATTAGGCTGAAATTGCTTAAGATGGGTATTTCTGTAGTATTCAAGCATCACATAAATTGCAGTCTTATAATGCCCCTGTGTGGAAAGTGCTAGTACCATTTGGCCTACTTCATTATTTCTGTTCTCCTTCCACATATGACTTGGTATAGTCAAAGCCACCTCTCAATTATCTGGGGGCGCATTTCCTAACTTGAGTGTCATCCAAGCTTTCTTTCTAAGATAGTCATTTTTCAGCAGTTTGCGTGGGGCTCCAAATGAGAAAAACAGCCAATTTTCTTCATAACTAGGTTTAACAAAGCATGAGTGGTTTCAGAATCTTGGCTCTGAGAGAAAATGATGACACCACTTACAGAGAAGTATCAATACCTTCTTGCCTACTTTTCTGTTCCAACTGTAACTGATTTACAGAGATCAAAGACCAGTATTCCTAGGGAACATTAAAAATGTGGAAATGTTCTTGTTGAGAAGCTATTTTTGAAAATTACACAGTGTAGCTAAGAACCGTGGTATACACCTGTAATCTCAGTTACCAGGGAGGCTAAGGAGGAAGGATCACGTGTCTGAGGTCAGCCTGGGCAACTTAATAGGTCCTGTCTTAATTTTTTTTTTTTTTAAATAAAAAGGGCTGGGAATGCATTTCAGTGCTAAAGAGCCCACGGATTTAATCCCTCATATTGCAGGGGAAAAAGTTAACAATTCAAAACAGTTATCAGCCATATCTGACATCTGCCCCGCTCTGTCGGCCCATACTTGGCTTGCATGTAACTTTTTATTTTTAAGCTAACCCTTTTAGCAATTCTTACTCTGAAGACAATCATTGAGTAACAACTTAGGAAAAGTTGGATTTAAGGTGGATTTGTGTAAGCCACCTAGTATAAAGGGAAACAATAACTGTAGTCAGGAATAAGTTCTAGAACATTCTAAAATGTAAGAATTCCATAGAATGATTTCCATTACTTTAATGGCACACATAATACCAGGAAAAAAAACAAAAAACTGATAGTGCTCTAAGAACAGTAATACTGTAAGACCTACAGGGTGACATATGAAAGAAAGTTTTTGGAGCCAGGCAGCCTCAAGCCTGAATCCCAGCTCTACTGCACATTAGCTATACAACATGGCACGAGTCACACAGCCTCAGTCTGTTCCCTTGCCCATAAAGGACATTAGCCTAACTTCAAAAAGTTGTTTCAAGGATTAGAGTAAATGTAGAAAATCAGCTCGTTATAAATTTCAAAAATGGCAGCTACTAATATTAATGAACACCTCACAGTCCATTTATGGGCCCACACTTAATAAGACTGCTGTTAAGTCCCAGGGAATGAGTTCAACTTGGTCTCAAGTTCTCTGTTGTTTTGATGTTATCAGAAACTTTCAGTAAGTCTAGTAATTCACCTATAAATGAGTTTTCTTTAGGTGGATCTCGGTCTGCACACGCTGCCTATTCTGTGAATCAGCTTCCTTTGAAGTGAACCTTGGTATTTTCTTCCCAATTTCACAAACCACAGGAAACACTCACTTTATGTATAACACTGCCCTCTAGTGATTAGAAAAATACTTTTTCTACTTATCTGTTCAACTGCAACCCTTTGTTTAAAAAAATAATAAAGAAGTAAAATAAAAAATTAAAATCTGGTTACTTATCCACCAGCCCAAGAAAAACTTTTCCTGGAAATCTGGTGGAATCAACCAGTTACTCCTGATCTTATCCTCTTAATCAAAGCATCTAACTGTGTCAGAGTTACCATCTAAAACTACAAGAGCACAGGTGGAACACTTGTATGACCAGGGGCTATAATCCCAGTGATTTGGGAGGCACAGATAGGAGGATCACAAGTTCAAAGCAAGTCTTAGCAATTTAGCCACACTCTGTCTCAAAATAAAAAATAAAAAGGACTGGCTCAGTGGTAAAGCAACCCTGGAGTCAATCCACAGTATTGGGGGAAAAAAAAGTGTGGGCTGTGTTGGGGATGATCATTTATTTAGTCCGCATTTCCCCTTCAATACCCCAAAACTCTTTGAAGAACTTGGCCTTCTTATACCTTTTATTTCTTCTATTTTTACAATAAAGCATGTATTTGTGTATCTACACAATGTGAACCCAAATTTCCAAGGGAGGGAGAAAATAATCTGTCTGGATCGTTAAAATAGAAACTCTGCATTGAAGATTCAATTCCAAGATTAAAATACTAATACAGATTGACTGACAGCCTGAAAGATGGTCTGATGCCTGCTTAATTGTAGGCTACCCTGCTTTAAATGTAAGAAAACTCCTAACCTCACTCACAGAGGAAATGGACAATAGCAGCTACTGTTCACAGCTGAGCCTTATGCTTAACTGTGTATCTGCTGTTCCCAACAATAATCCTGCCCAGTACATGTTATCGCTATTTTCTAGATGAGACACAGTTTACATAATTGAATCCAAGTCTGCCCACAAGCCCTTCTCTGGTAACAGTGACCTGAAAGGCAAGTTCCACAGAAAGATGAGCAAGATGCCATCTTGGTGTAAATAACAAATTACAATAAACTGACCCAGAAACAGAGAGGAAGGTATCTAAGAATATTTACTGGTAAAGGGTAAGTGTTCAAAGATGAGCCAAGTTCCACTGCTGCCTTCAGCAAGCAAATGCTTGACAGTTATAAACATCCAGTGAGAAACCTATTCTACTCAGATATAGGTAGGTATTTATCAAACACAAATCTAACTAGGTTTAAATTCTGAAAGTACACCCTTCAGATAAGTAAGCCTCCTGATACTTTCTTTTTCAATTTAAAAAACTTCAACAGCTGGGTGCAGTGGCACAAACCTGTAATCCTAGCAACTCGGGAGACTGAGGCAGGAGGATCTCAAGTTCAAAGCCAGTCTCAGCAACTTAGTGAGGCCCTATGCAATTTAGCAAGATCCTGTCTCAAAAAATAAAAAACCAAAAGGGATGGGGATGTGGCTCAATGGTTAAAAACTCCAAAAAACAACTACAAAAAAATTCTTAACTGATGATGTAGTAATGCATCTACTCAGCTCTGGGTGAAGTTCAAATTGGAAAGTGGACACCCGCTTACCCCTCTAACTGCTCCCCTTCTCTAAGGTAGCTTCTGAGTCTCTCAGCTTCTGAGTCTCTTGGCCTTTCCTTGGTGATGAATAGCAAGTGGCCCATTTCCCCAGATGCTCTTAAATAACAATCACATTGGTGTTTGAACTTATAACTTAACACCTATAATTAGGATTTGGGAGCTTCTGGAACCATAACCTTAACCCAGCCTTCCATAACAGTCTTTTTACTTTCTATTACACAACATGACACGGCAATAAAAGCAACAAACCGCTTCAGCTTTTTCACTTCTGCAGAAGCTAAAACCACTTCTCCAATATATAAAGGAGCGGGAAAGTTAATTTCCTGGGAGAGAAATACACAGCCTGGTCCTGGCATTTTCGTACCCAAGAGAGCTGAGATGAGCCCATTGATCAAAACTCCATGTACAATTGTCCTTCCAAACTTGGTGTGTTTAGCGAAATCTTCATTTAAATGCAAAGGATTGACGTCTCCCGTTAATTCTGAGAAGGCAGCCACGTCCCTCTGTGTGAAGGCCCTGCTGAGTTCAGCCCGGTCCCCAACCCTCACGTGCACATGCTGCAGGAGCTGTCTGCTCCACGCTGGTTGACTCAGGCAGAATCTCCTTTGAAGTCCACCCCACGGAAGGCAATAGCTGGATACTACTGGGAACATCTTCAGCATCCTCATATTTCATCCATGGGAGCTTCTAGCCTGCTTCTGTTTTCAAACTATGCAGCCACCAAAAAGTACTTTTGAGAGCAGAGGAAAAGTTTCTGGAATTGAAGACTATTCAATCCAATACTAGTTCCCTACTGTTACCAGATAACGCGAGGAGAAATGGAGAGACCTACAAGAGAATGAAAAAGGTTAATGTGATACCAGGAAGAAAGTGCACTGCCACAGTGCAACACAGAAACACACCCAGTTTTATAGAATGAACAAAGCTGGGGTACTAGCATTTTAATTATCACCTGCAGCACTGGGAGGGAACCCAGGGCCTCACACATGCTAGGCAAGTGCTCTACCACTGAACTATACCCCAGCCTTTTTTATTTTTAATTTTTATTTTTTGGTAATCAGGGGCACTCAATCACTAAACCACATCCCCAGCCTATTTTGTATTTTATTTAGACACAGGGTCTTACTGAGTTGCTTAGGGCCTTGCTAAGTTGCTGAGGCTGGCTTTGAACTCACAATCCTCTCACCTCAGCCTCCCCAGCTGCTGGGATTACAGGCATGCGACACCATACCCAACTATTTTTTGAGTCAAGGACTCACTAAATTGACTAGGCTGGCCTTGAACTTGTGATCCTTTTGCCTCAGCTTCCTGAGTCACTGTCTGGCTGCACTAGCATTTTAAAGAACGGCCTTAGTTAAACAAGTAGTCAAAAGCTCTGGATGCGTGTATCAATATAAAACACACTAGGTGTAAACATTATTTTAAAAGCCTTTATCACAAGTGTTCCAACTTTGATTCCCAAACATCTCCCATCCAATCTAAAATCTAAATACTCTGTCTCACATTTTCAGAAGCAATGAAGTCCCACATTTTGCCCTCCTTGCTAGCTGCTAGTAACTGTATGACCTTCATTCAAGCACAGAGTAAAAAAGCAGTTGGTTCACATTCAGTCTCACTTGGAATATGTGAAGGAACAAACCTTTACCTGAATCACTCTGAAAGCACATTTTTTGCCTTTGTAGGATCCTAACAGGGTCAAAGAACTCCACAATTTGACTAGACCACTGCAAAAAAATCAAGAAAACAAATGAAGATTTGTCCTTGAATAGTACTTCTGTTTATTAGTACTTTTAAGTCCAGAAAAGTGGGTGGTTTTTATCAGAAAACCTTAATTTAAATGAAAACAAAAAAACAAACAATAACAAAACCTGGGAGTAAAAGCACAGTATATCATAGGCAGAGAATAAAATGAACCCAAGAATATTTCTAAAATATATATTACTGGCTGTCCAACCATGACCATCAATAGGGAATTCTAGCTGTAATCAAACCACGAGTTTTGCTCTTTCTAGTGCATAAGCCCCTGATAGATGTTCAGATTCATCTCAGCTTACATTTCCAAAAGTTGCCCAGAGTTCATAATCACAAAACTCTTCTTGTTCTAGAAGCAAGCATTTTTGTTGTCTCTCCATCAGTCTCTCTTCCCCGTTATTCTACAATGTTCCTGTTTATCGTACCTGCTACATATTCTCAGGATGGCTGACAAGGTCTTCTCTTCATAGGTCAGGACATCCACAGGTAAGGCAGCACCAACCTACATATGGAATAATGTATTAGCAAACTCTTATCAACATTACCCTTGAACTCATTAGTGAGGTCTAATGAGTTCCCGTCAATGCCTTGTTTTTGAGTTTCTCCTCCTTTGCTGATGCTGGTACTCTCGGGTGCCTGATTAATGCTTCCCTTGCCTGGACTGCTCCCACACCCCTTCATGTGGCTGATCCTCCTCACCCCTTGTTTGAATTGTTCCTTCCTCGATTCCCAAGCTCAGGCTCGATCTGCTTGCTCTGCTCTTTCCATATGGGATTTCCAACTTCCTCTCTCACAATTCTCATCTTGTCACTAATTGACAAATATTCCCATGTAAAAGAACATTAGTCCATGAGACAGAGGCCATGTCTATTTAGAGCTATGTTCCCAGAAACCAGGGTTTTATACCTGACACATAGAAAGTATACAGATCTTTTTTTTTTTTTTTACTTTTTATTTAGATAAACTATACACTTGGAGGAGATTGCAAAGCAAGCTATATAGGAGGTTCCATGTACCCTACAGCTCCCTCAATGCCAATATCTTGCATTAGTATAATAGGTAATTAGGTAATCTATATCAGTATAATTTGGAGTTTACTCAGATTTTGCCAATTATACATGTACTCATATTTGGACATGTATCTGTATTTATGTGTAGTTCTATGTAATTTTACCACATTAAGTAGCTTCACATAACTACTGCCACAACCAAGATAAAGAACAAGACTCCCTGACTCTACCCCTTTATATCACTCCTCCTCACCCCTGACCCCTGGCAACCTCTAATCTTCCTCTATATTATTTAATTATAATTGTTATTTCAAAAGTATTACAGACACAGACTCACACAGTAAGCAATCTTGGGGACTGGTTTTTTCATTCATCTGGTCATTGTGAATATCAACACTTCATTCCTTTTCATTGTTGAGTAAATTCCATGGTATGAATGTACTACAGCTTAACTATTTACCCACTGCAGTACACCTGGGGTGTTTTCAGTTTGGGGTTATTGCAAATGAAACTATAACGAACATTTGTGTATAGGTTGTTTTTTAAAAAAAACATTTATTTTTTAGTTATAAGTGGATACAACATCTTTATTTTATTTTTACGAGGTGCTGAGGATCAAACCTAGTGCTTCACGCATGCTAGGCAAGCGCTCTACCACTGAGCCACAACCCCAGCCAGCCCTGTGTCTGTGTATAGGTTTTTATGTAAATAGAAGACTTCTCTTCTCTGGGACAAATGCCCAAGAGTGCCGCTGCTGGATCACATGGCAGGTACATGTTCAGTTTATGCTGCAGAGTCCCTGCACCATTTTACACTCCCACAAGCAACGTATGGTGACCCAACTTCTCCACATCCTTGCCAGTGTTTGATGTTATCACTATTTTTTTGTTTCATTCACTCTGTGCTGTATGTAGTAGTATCTGACTGAATCATGTAATTTCCCTAATATCCAATGCTATTGAACTTCTTTTCATGTATTTTCATGTATTTCTTTGCCAATTATACATCCTCTTTAGTGAAATGTCTGTGTATGTTTTGGTCCATTTTTTAGATGGACTGTTTGGTTTTGAGAATTCTTTATATATTTTAGACAGTCATGGTGGAGCACACCCATTATCCCAGCTACTTGGGAAGCCAAGGCAGGAGAACTGCAAATTCGAGGCCTGCTTTGGCAACCTAGCAATACCCTGTCTCAAAATAAAATGAAAAGAGCTAGAGAAGTAGCTCAATGGTAGAACATATGCACAGCAAGTACAGGGGCCTGGGTGCAGTCCTCAGTACTGCAAAAATAAAACAAAAAAAGAGGGTTCTTTTTATATATTTAGATATGAGTCTTTTGTCAGATTAGTTTACCAATATTATCCCGCAGTGTGTAACTGACCTTTTTAATCTCTTAACAGTCCTTTGCCAATTAAAGGTTGTTTTTTCGGGGGGTTCTAGGGATTGAACTCAGGAGCGCTTGACCACTGAGACATATCCCCAGCCCTACTCTGTATTTTATGTAGAGACAGGGTCTCACTGAGTTGCTTAGGGCCTCACTTTTGCTGAGGCTGACTCTGAATTCTTGATCCTCCTGCCTCAGTCTCCTGAGCTGCTGGAGTATAAGCATGCACCACTGTGCTTAGCCCAAGTAAAGGTTTTTAATCTCGATAAGGTACATGGCAGACTTTTTAAAATATATATATATATATATATTTTTTTTTTTTTCAGTTGGACACATCTCTTTATTTATTTACTCTTATGTGGTGCTGAGGATCGAACCAAGGGCCTCACACGTGCTAGGCGAGCACTCAACCACTGAGCCACAACCCCAGCCCCACATGGCAGATTTGACTTGACAGAATATATGAATCAGGAAATAATATCCTGAGACTCCTTCTTTGCTTTCCCTCTTAACTTCCAAAGCTCTCCTTTGTTCTCAAGTCAATGTCAGGACAAAGAGATGCAAAGTATTGGTCTGTGATAAGACAAGGAGCTGCGCCAGAATGCAAAGCAACAATATCACTGAGCACATTTTTGTTTTTTGTTTTTTGGTACCAGGGATTGAACCCAGAGGCCCTTAATTACTGAGCCCTATCCCAAGCTCTTTTTTATATTTTAATTAGAGACAGGGTCTCCCAGAGTTCCTTAAGACCTCATTAAGTTGCTGAGGCTACTTTGAACTTGCAATTCTCCTGCTTTAGCCTCCCAAGCTGCAAATGTTCTACCCCTGAGCTGCACCCCTAGCCCTCACAATGTTTTATAAGGAGACCTTTTCACTAAATGAAGTGGTGTGCTGGTTTCTAGTGTGAAGCCCCATCTCTTCAAGATGAGCAAAATAACACTTTGCAGGTTGCCAGCCTAGATCACAGTCTAAGTAACAATGAACAAATATTTGTCTAACAAGTTTCTTGTCAAATACAAGGCATAGGCCTGGGGTTGTGGCTCAGTGGTGGAGCACCTGCCTCGCACACATGAGGCACTGGGTTCCAAGCTTAGCACCACATAAAGTAAGATAAATGATATAAAGGTACTAAAAAAATATTAAAAAAAAAAAACACAAGGCATTTTAGGACAAACCTACTGCAATTCATCATCTACAGTTTTCAAATGCTGTCAGAATTCTTTTCTTTTTTTCCCTTTTCTGTGCTAGGGGTCAAATCCAGGGCCTTGCACATACCTGGCAAGCACTCTACCTCTGAGCTATATCCCCATCCCCTACCCCTTTTCTAAATTTCTTACAAAGATCTTAATCTACCAAATAACTTCATACCTCCCCAAACAGGTCCTTTAGGGCAGAAATAAGCAGCTGTTTGAACTGTGCAGCATTCAGACCAACTCCATGATCTTGAAATTCCCTGAAAAAACACATTAAAAAGAAAAAAAGGGACATTAAATTATGTGCTATTCAGATTCATTTTAAAAAGGTAATTTAAAATGTAACTTAGGAAACTGAACTTACAGGCAGACTTTCATGTAGTGGTACTCAGAGGGATTTTTGTAAACTATTCTTTCGTATGTGGTAGCCAGTGCTGGCATCTTTTTCAGTGTTGATCACACCTATAGTAAATCAAAAAGGCTAGTAGTTACAAAGGCACAAGCTATATTTCATTGTTTTGGTGGAGGGGTACTAGGGACTGAACTCAGGGGCTCTCCACCAAGAGCTACATCCTTAACCCTTTCTATTTTGAGATAGGGTCTGCCTAAGTTTCTGAGACTGGCCTTGAACTAGCAATCCTCCTGACTCAGCCTCCTGAGGCTTTCAACTTTTTAATGAGAATTCAACCCATTTGATTTTAAAAAGACCTCTTGACACAGTAACATCTAATTCTGGTCAAAGGTTACCTACAGAGATAGAAAGGAAGTTCCTATGTTTTCAACATGCCAGACCACTGTCCTCTTAATTTTATTTTATTTTATTTTTTTTTAAATATTAATTTATTTATTTTAGTTTTCGGCGGACACAACATCTTTGTTTGTATGTGGTGCTGGGGATCGAACCCGGGCCGCACGCATGCCAGGCAAGCGTGCTACCGCTTGAGCCACATCCCCAGCCCTGTCCTCTTAATTTTAAGAAGTATGATTTATTCTACATTCTACTAACATAAATCCTGCTGACTTTTTTTTTTTTTTTTGGTACTAAGCCACCCAGCTCTGTGCTAAATATATCACGTGCATTGGTTTCTATGTCTTCAAAATTATCCTATGAAGTAAAAACTATTATTCCTTTTTTTCCCCCCCAGTGCTGATGAGCTTTACCATGAACCTACATTTCCAGCCTTTTCAATTTTGACACAGGGTCTCACAAAGCTGCCCAGGGTGGCCTAGAACTTGGGATCCTCCTGCCTTCGCCACCCCAAATACAGAGCAAACATTTACTGGGACTACAGGCATGTGCCACTGTACTCAGCAATTACTCTCACTTTAGACAGCAAGGCTCTTGAGAAGAATAATTCCTGAAACAGCCATTATTATGGTGTGAACCTGACCTGTCCCCCAAAAACTTGTTCTTGACCTTGGATCAGAACTATAAGCCAAAATAAAACTTTTCTTTGTCCAACCAAGGAAAGGGACTTAGCAGAGACTGCATAACAATGTAAATGTACTTAATGACACTAAAATATACACTTAAAAGTGGCTAAAATGACATATGTTTCATATTTTGTATGTTTTATACTAAGACATAAGAAGGGGTTTTTGGAGATGCAGCTTTTTGGTGGTGTGGGATTGAACACAGAGCCCTGCACAAGCTAGACAAGCACTCTACCATTGAGCTGCATCTCCACTACACAGAGCAAACGTTTTACTGAGCAGTCACTTCTCCACAAGCCTGAGTCCTCAGAGAAGGGGACAGCACTGCCCTCTGCAGGCTGTTCTGAGTTTAAGCGCTCCTGTAGTCATTGCCATCAATGGCCTTTACCTAGGCTTTTAAAAATAATTACAGGGATGCAGGTAAACATCTCTCAGCAGTAGGTTCCATGCCTACTCCCCTCCCCACTCCCGGTGAACCTATTTAAATCTATTCAAGCACATCCCTCCCCTGTTCAAACCCTGCAATGCTTCCTATTTTATCAAGAGCAAGACCAAAGTCCTTGAGTAGCCTGCAAAATCCTAGCTGATCTGTGCTGTTCCTGACCCCCTGTCCACTGGACCCACATCCCAGTTCCTTCTCCTCCACCTGTCTCTCCCGCCTCTGGGCCTCAGCTTCAGCTTTCTTCAAGGAGCCACATGGTTCACTCTTTTGCCTTCTTTCTGGTTTTCTGCTCAATCTGTCTCTGTAGCCTAGTGCCCATCCTAATACTGCATCGCCCCCTCTTTGCCCCGACCCTGTTCTTTTGTCTCAAGGCATTTGCCACCTTCTAACATAATTGCATAATTCACTTATTCTTTATCTTTACTCCCCTAGTAGGTCCACTCCACGAGTCTGGGGTCTGTCTTGTTTGCTGCTGTTTTCCAAAGACCTAAAGCAGTGCGTTGCACCGTGCAGACGTTCCAAGGATAACTCCCGGAATGCTGTAAATCCTCAATACTGCTGAGCACTTAGATTGTTTCCAACTAACAACCACCATTGATTCAGGGCCCTCCTCTGCGCGTGGCACAGGCAGCGCGCCCTGCACAGTGCCACTCACTGCTCGAGGTCACCTTGTGCGGTAGTGACCGCACGCCACGTCGTACAGAGGGCGACCGGGCATCTCTGCCCCCGCGGACCTGTACCTCGGGCTCTCCGGACCACCCTCCAGGTCGCTCTCGCTTTGCACATGCGCACTCGGCGCGCGTGGCGGGCAACAGCAGTGCGGCCGTCTAACACCGCTCCCGGAAATAACCACTCTCGTGCGGGCTTCCGCTTACCCGCTGTCTGTCGGGCTAGCTTGACGCCTCCTCTGACTTCGGTTGGCTGCAAGGATTCGCCAAGGCTTGGCGATCCACGCAGGAGCCAGAACCTGGGTCCGGGAAACTCCTGGTGTGTTTACGTTTGGCTGCTCCCTGACCCCGGATGAGAGGTGGGCAAGCGGATATGAGGTCACCGCGCGGAGTCTCCCACGGAGCCCGATGTGAATCCTGAGCAGGAGCTGAGGACCGCGGAGCTCAGCGCCCTCTGGTGCCGACTCCGGGGAAAGTGCGCGCAATTGTCTGCATAGGATGTTTATTTTGGCGGGTGAAGTTTTAATAGCCATTTGATTTTTCATGCATTCTTTTTTTGGGGGAGCATCCCCAACCTTTTTATTTTTATTTTTTGTTTTGTTTTGAGAAAGGGTCTTGCTAAATTGCAGAGGCTGGCCTCAAACTTGTGATCCTTCTGTCTCAGCCTCCTGAGTCGCCAGGATTATAGACGTGTGCCACCGCGCCCAGCTTTATGCATTCATTCTTCAATAAATTTATTTATCTAGAATCTGTTCTTTGTTTATTTCAGTGTTGAGGATCAAATCCAGGGCCTCGTGCATGCAAGGCAACTGGTCTACCACTGAGCTACATCCCCAGCCCTAGCATCTCTTCTGAACATCTCCTGTGTCAAGCACTCTCCAAGGACAGGACCCACTCTGAATGCCCCTTGTGTCTCCCAGCACACTGTAGGTGTTCTATATGGGTGGACCCTGAAAAATCCAGCTTGTCCTATTTCCAAACATAAGCCGTTTCACTTATGCATTTATTTACTAAGTACTTGTTTGAATTAGTTATGTGCTGGAGTTCAAAGCCAGCCTCAGCAACAGAGAGGTGCTAAACAACTCAGTGAGACCCTGTCTATATTTGCTGGGCACTGTTGTAGGTGCTGGAAACTCAGGAGAATAAGAAGATATGGCCCCTCTCATGAAACATAATGTGTATTTAATAATAACAATAATGGCAGCTAATATTTATCAAGTGCCTACTTTGTGCCAGGCACTGTACAAAAGATTTTACATATGCTTTTATAGGAAATACTTATACAAATCTGTGGTAGCTATTATATAATCAGGCCCATTTTATGCAGGTGCAACTGAGGCATAAAGGCCAAGGTATTTGCCCAAGATCACGCAGTTATAAGTGGTGGAACAGGCTGTCTGATTCTGGCCAGTGCTCTCTACACTGTACTGCATTGGTAACCAAAGTCCAAGGTCAGAGGTCCAGACTCTGGAGATCTCAACAAGTCTGGTCTGGCCATTTGCCCCAAACAATAAATGGGAAAAGTAATAGTGAAAAGGAGGCAAGGAACTTTAATCAGTATTGCTGTATTGGGAAGGCTAAGTAAGCTCAGGAGTCTCAGTTCGGGTGCTGACATGAGTTTTAGGTTTTAAAAGAGGAAGAATTGGGGGAGGGCCTGAGACTTGTGCATACTTAAGCAATCGTGGTCAAGCTGGGGTCTGGTTTATCATTATCTCAGTTCTGGTTCTGCAAGGTGGCTTATCACTTAAGCTCTTATCACTTGAGGAGGCAATTTCCATTTGCTGCTCAGGACATTTATCTAGCAGATATGTGATCATGGAAGGGGACGATTTGGTTTGAATGCGATATTTATTCCTGCAGAAGGACAGGAGGGAGGACATGAAATATTGCCTTTTAGTCCCCTGTGCCTGACACATCTTAGACAAGTGATTTCGCCTGACAAGTTTCATCCTGGGCTAGTCTTCCTGCAAGGCTTCATTGTTCCTGAAAAGGTGAGGGGCAATAACTGGAGACTCTCAGGCACCCCTCCAGGGATCTGGAACAGGACGTTGTAAAACCTGGCAGTGGAGTGTTCCTTCAAATCTTGAAAATACCTTAATTATTTTTATCTTAGTGTTGAAGTCTTGGAGGGGGTCAAGATAGGTTAGGTCCGTGTAGGGCTAATAAACCTTGTATTACCAGTTTTTAGACGTACATTCTTTAAATGATTAGCATACTTGTGTGCAAAGCTGAGCAGGGAGTCTGAAGACAAATACAAAATGAAGGCAGAGAGGCCAAACTATACTGCTTTTAGTTACCCATTGAGTACCTGAAGCCCAAATGATGTTAGTGCTTCAAGCAAAGACAGCTTCTAATTTTGTTATAATATTCCAACCAATTGAGGGGCTGAGGTGGGAAAGGATCCTCAAGCGTAAGTTCTATGAGGACAAGGCCTTGTCTGTGATGATACGCCACTGCATTCCAGTCCCCCATCCTGGGCACAGTGGCTCACACTTGTAATCCCAGTGGCTCAGGAGGCTGAGACAGGAGAATCGCGGGTTCAAAGCCAGCCTCAGCAACTACAAGGTACTAAGCAACTCAGTGGAGACCCTGTCTCTAAATAAAATATGAAATAGGACTGGGGATGTGGCTCAGTGGTTGAGTGCCCCTGAGTTCAATCTCTGATACTCAAAAACAAAACAAATTTTTTCTGAATGTGTCAGTTCATACATGAATGTGCTGATTCAGCCTGGTGAGTGGGGGATGGGCAAAGTTGGCCTTTCACAACCAAACCCATGCCCTGAGGGAGCAGAGACCTTCCTTCTCATTCTGTTCTCAAAATGCCACTGTCTGCTGTTTCCTGAAACTTCAGTCCTTGCCCTTGTCCACGCTGTCCAGTTCTGTGGCCCCAGCTTGCCTGCCTTCTCCCTTCATGTCCTCAGAGGGGACATGACTGGTTCCCAGATGGGGAAGTAGGTGGAAGAAATCCACACAGACCGCGGATGCTGCCATTTTCTTTCTCAACAAAGCTTGGATTTTGGAAGCTCCCAGAATGAGCTTCAAATCCATCCTATACCGCCTGCCTGGCCTCCTCCTCACACGGAGAGATCATTAGCCGTCACCCCACAAAGTTATAAGGGAAAATGGTTGGTTGTGTAAAGTGTCTGGTGCGTAGGAACCAGTGAATAATGGGGATCTCCCTCAACCAGCCACCGGGCAAACCCATCTATCTTGCCAGCCTGTGCCATATCCCTCCTGCCCCACCCCCCAATAAAAAAGACAAAACCCAGAACGGCTTATGTATTTCAGGGTTCAAAAAAACCTTGGTTAGTTTTCACTCCTTCTGCACCGAACCCTGAAAAGGAAGTGCCTTCCCACCTGCTTGACTTTTCTCAGTGCTGTCTGGTTAATCCAAAGTTGAGGATAAGAGATACCTTGGAGTGGTAAAGATGTTGTTAGTCGACTTTGCTTTTAACTACACTTTATTTTTTGGATGGGTGCTGTAGGCTTACGGTGTATCATCTCAAAGATATCAATGCAATAAAAAGTAAGACTCCTTCTTACCCCTTCCCAACCAGTGCATCTTCTCTCCAGAGGCAACCACTGCTTTGAGTTGAAGTGTCCTTTCCAATGGGTGGTATGGGGGCTTCTTCCTCTTTCTTCTTCTATTTTTTAAACCAGGAATTGAATTCAGGGGTGTTTAGCCACTGAGCCACATCCCCAACCCTATTTTGTATTTTATTTAGAGACAGGGTCTCACTGAGTTGCTTAGGCCCTCCCTAAGTTGCTGAGGCTGGCTTTGAACTCTTGATCCTCCTGCCTCAGCCTCCAGAGCCTCTAGAGCCACAGGTGTACGCCACCATGCTCAGCTGGCTTTTCCTTCTCCATGATGCAGTTTAACATCACTCCAAATCAAAGCACACAAAGCTGCCTCAATCTTTATAGAACTGCCCTGAATTTCATTGGGTATAGTCAGTTGGCTCTTTGGGGCTATTTCTGTCATTCAAGGCAAAGTTGTTGGGCAGATCTGGAGGACTGATGTTTCTAGAAGATACGGCAGCTGAGAAGAAGCTAAAGCCACACTTCCTTCCGCTTTGCCGGCCTTAATAACTGATGTCAAGTGGCTTTTGCTAAAGGGGAAGAACTTTCTCAACTTGAAGAAAAGGCAAGAGAGGGGTCCAAGAGGAATTCCAGCCCCACCACTGTCCATCCATCCAAAGGAAATGACGCTCCTTGTGTCAGCAGATTTTGTTAAGATAAGACAAAGGAAGTGAAAATGATCAGAAGCTGAAAGCTATGGAATTGCAGCCGCTCCCTGTTTCTGCTCGGGGAGAACTGCCAATTTGCCAGCTTTTGCTCATACTGTCCCATCGATTGCATTGTCACTGTCATGTCCACCTTTCATAACAGAAGAAAACAAGGCATGACGCCTATAATCCCAGCATCTCCGGAGCCTGAGGCAGGAGGATCGTGAGTTCAAAGCCAACCTCAGCAAAAGCAAGGCCCTAAGCAACTCAGGGAGACCCTGTCTCTAAATAAAATACAAAACAGGGCTGGGGATGTGGCTCAATGGTCAAGTGCCCCTGAGTTCAATTCCCAGTAACCCCTCTCCCCAAACAAAACACACCAAAGCACGAAGGTTAAGTCATGCGTCTTAAGACGCCAGGCTCTGGTGACTAAAAGGCAGTATTCTGTGTCCTCCCGTGTGCACAACTAGGCTGGGAGCTGCTCCCTGATGCCTACCTGAGCATCCTCTCCAAAGCAGCAGCACTGAAAAGCATGCCCCTGCTTCTGGGAAACCGGCTCTAGTGTGAAACCCACGTAGAGAAAAGCAGGGAAGAAGCTAAGCCAATAGGTGGAACCCATGGTGCCCTGGGGCATAGAGGATGCCAGAAGACTCAGTCTTGTAGGCAAGGGGGTGTGGTGGGGGCAATCCTTCCTATTCCTCCTCCACCACTGTCACTGGCCAGATTTCATTTGCTAATGAAAACACAGGATGCCCAGTTAAATCAGAGTTTCAAATAAGCAATCAACAGGAGGACATCCTTATACTAAAAATGTATTTATTGATCATCTGAAATAAAATTTTTACTGGGTATCCTGTATTTTATCCAGCAACCCGAGGAGGCAGGAGAAGTTTGGGCAGCTCACCAGGTAAGATCTAACATACCTGAGGCTTTAGCTTAGGTCCAAACCACCTGTGTCATCCAGGGTGATAGTGGGATGCCTGGTTCCTGCGTCAGCACCCACTACCTTGGTTCACTGCCATCTGAGGATGTCTTGGCTCTGTCAGAGACATTTCCTTGCCATGTGGGCGCTGGGACTAGAGCCAGGTTCTAGATCCTTGCCTCATCCAGGATTTCCAAAATGCATTTAGATGATGGAGACTACCCTTAGAAGTATCTTAGAGACCTCTCCCCTTTCAAATAAAGCCCAGGAAAGGAGAATTTGGGGGGGGAGAAGATAACCATCCTGGAATAAAGCAGATCACATCTGGTGGCACCTCGGATCCTTTCTTAACATTCAGAGATCCTCTGCCAGGCATTCAGAGGGGTCCCTACACTTTCTCTGCATGCCCGTTAGGGGAACTCAGGAATCTGTGGGTTGGGTCTAGAATAGCCTTAAGGCACAGAAGTCAGAGAAAAGAGCAGGTGGGGTGGACACAGGAATGGCCTGCATGACTCCATTCGTTAAAAAAAAAAATCCACACCACCACCCAGAGGGACCTCTCTGTTCCTAGGTATGCCTGTGTGTATGCACGGCTTTTGCAGCACTGGGGATTGAACCCGGGGCGCTCTATTGCCCAGCCACATCCCCAACCCTTTTTATTTTTCATTTTGAGACAGGGTCTTATTAAGTTGTTCAGGCTGACCTTGAACTTATGATCCTCCTGTCTCCCGAGTCACCAGCCACCATGCCTGCTACATTGTTTTATTTTCAAGTGACAGAACATCATTTTGGTAACCCTAATAATTATTATGTAAAATATTGCTACTGACAGGCACAAGAGAGAGCTATGATGCTTACCACATGGAGGTTGCTTCTTTTTAAATGGTAGAGTGCTTGCCTGGCATGCCTGAGGCTTGCTCCCAGGCACCAGTGGGGTGAGGATGAGGGTGTTCTTTCTCAGATAAGCTATTTATTTTTTGTTTTTGTTTTGGTACCGAAGATTGAACTCAGGGGCACTGGACCCCTGAGCCCCATCCCCAGCCCTATTTTGTATTTTATTTAGAGACAGCGTCTCACTGAGTTGCTTAGGGCCTTGCCATTGCTGAGGCTAGCTTTGAACTCGTGATCCCCCTGCCTCCAGTCTCCCGAGCTGCTGGAGTTATAGGCAAGCGCCATCCCGCCCAGCTGAAAGAACACTTTTCAAGACAGCTGGAACCTGGACTATGCTCTCCCATCCTTTATCAACAATCCTGGGGGGAGGGGGGAATATGGACACCAGATCTCTTGATCTGACACCGACACTTCGTCTGAACTAAGAGTTAGCTCTTTACAGCTCTTGTCCCATTTACTGTGGCTAAGCTTATGTGCATGGCAAAAATACGGATGTGTTTGTTTGATCACACATAGAGGTGGGTGTGGGAACATTAAATGGGAACACTTCAAGTCACTTCTGGTCCTGAGAACCTTGGTGAGGGGTTGTGGACCTGGGCTTGTGTTGCTATCTAGACAGATGCAGAAAAGAGCAGGTGGGGTGGTGCACACCTATAATCCCAGGAGTTATAGGTCTTCCAGGGACAGTCATCTGCCCCCTGCCCTTCCCCAGCCAGCTTGGCCTCGGATCCCGGGGATTGTCAGCATCCTGCCTTCTCCCACGTCCTGCTGTGTGGCAGTGTTCCTATTCATTGTTGTGAGGGTCTAGAGACCAAAGACCCAGGAACCCATAAAGGGAAGTTCCTCCAGGAGCCAAGGGGGAAGGGGCTACCCTACTGCTCAAAGGAGAGCCCAGCAGGCAATCATCTTCTCCCTCTCCCAGAGTAGGTGATGATGGTCACTCAAGACCCTTGCGCCCACCAAGGGCTCAGGAAACCCCAGGCTCACACCCTGGTTGTTACCAGCCCACAGGGCAGCAAAACTGGGCCACAGAGCCCTGGGGCATCCGGGAATACCAGAACAGCAGCCCCTGCACCATTGCTCTCTGGTCCTGACCTTGGCAGGTAATTTGAGGACAATACCCCCTGCCTTAGCCATGACTCCCCCTCACCCTGAAAAAAACCACACACACACAAATCTCTACTTTTTTTTTTTTTTTTTTGGTACTGGGGATTGAACCCTGGGATGCTTAGCCACTGAGCCACATACCCAACCTTTTTTTTTTTTAAATCTTGAGACAGGATCTTGCTTAGTCCTTAGGGCCTCAATAAGTTGCTGCTGAAGCTGGCCTCAAACTTGGGATCTTCTTGAGCCACTAGTATTACAGGTATGTGCTACCACACCCAGCTTAGAGATTCCTTCAGATGTGATCCTCAGTGGTATTTAACCCGGAGGACAAGAATTCTTTCACTCAGGAAGGCTGCTGATCTGATACTGATCCCAAATCTGGGGCTTCTTCAGTGATCCCGAGGAAACCATCTCTCACCCACTCAGACCTGCCTAGAAGGACCCCCTCTCCCATGAAATTCTTGGTAACAGTAGGAGATTAGAACAAGTAAAATATCTATGATCTACTTTCTTTTCTAGTCTGTTGATTTTCGTTTTCATCTCTATTATTTCCTTTTTCTTCTGGTTTTGACTTAGTATTTCTTTCCTACCTTCTTCAGATTGAAGTTCAACTTATTAACTTTCTGCCTTTCTTCTTTTTAAATATATGTACTTAAGCCTATGAACTTCCCTCTGAATACTGCTTTAGCTGCATCCCACAAGTTTGATGTTACATTATTGTGTCTTCTTAAGATCCATATTCTACTCTTCTCTAAAAAAAATTTAAAATATTCAGACCACTTCCTGAATGCTCATTTAAACTCTAAAGTTCATCTTGCTTTATTTCCAGAACTATTTGGTTGTAGACTCTCTATAAAAAAGGTTTGAAAGACTAGAGCTCCTGAGTTTAGGGTTTCTAAATGCAACAGAAGCGAGTCAAAAGGAATAGTTTGATGATTTCTGTTTTTGATGTAGAATTTTACTTGAATAAAAACTGCAATCATCATTTCTTCCTTTTCTTTTGAGGGACTGGGGATTGAACCCAGAGGTGCTCTACCACTGAGCTACATTCCCAGCCCTTTTTATTTTTTGAGACAGGTTGCCCAGGCTGGTCTTGAACTTGCAATCCTCCTGCCTCAGCAGCCCAAGTAGCTGGGATTACAGGAATGTGTCACCATAGCTGACTGCAAATATGATTTCTTAAAATGAAACTAATCAATCATCCGAGCAAAGGCTTCCAAAGCTTGTAGAACAAGCCTTCCTTTATTGTTATCATTTTTTCCCAGTGTTGGAAATCAAACCCAGGGCCTCATACACCCTAGGCATAGCTATATCCCATAGCTATATCTCATATACCACCACGAAGATATATCCCTATCCCTAATGCCTTATTTTAAAAACATATTCTAAGGTGAACAGAAAATCCACCAACATTGCACTTACTTAGGAGCTCAGAAATAGAAACCACCTGCAAGCAGCTGATCTAGACTTATTTATTTCACATCATTGTGGTCACTTTTACAGCTGTTTAGACTCAATTTTCAATCACGTTACTGTTCACAGAATTCACAGAATTCATTAACAAACTAGTATTTTACATCCAAGGGTTTTCAGTAGCACAGCAAAATAGAAAAGAGGCTCACAAGTCGCTTGTGGGTGGAACTCGGGTCTGATTATTTAGATAGATGTTTAGAACATTATTGCTTTATTAGTCCTATTTTTGGAAATAATAAATTATATCTAAGAAACCCACCCTACCAGGTGCTCTTCCTTCTGCGACTCTTCTGGGTTCACTCCCTGCATACCTGCTCATGGGTGCCAAACAAACCACCCACCTGTTGTTCTGCTGCTCAGGCAGTTCTGAGGGCCGGCCAAGCTGGAGCTGTGGCTCTCTGCACATGCCATTTTCCTCCCTGATCTTGTGGCTCATGGGCACATTCACAGATGGGCCCCTGTGCAACACCTTATCTTAGACCTAGACAAGAGGGTTCGGTGAATGAGGACTAATTCTCCTACAGAAGCCACTGACCATGCAGGGGAATATATCTGAAGCAACAAATCTCTCTCGAGTCCCAGTATGAGGAACCTCCTAAAGAAAACGTCCTGGATGACAATGGTCCCAGATGGCCTCTTCGAACCTGAAGAATTCTCAGGAGACTTCATGGCTGGGTGTTCTGATTTTGTTCCATGTTAGTTTCCATTTTGGGAAAAAGATCTTGGAGAGTTTCCTTGTGGCCCCTGAAGCTCTGTGGATCCAAGGATACTGGGAAAAGGGGACTGGATTCCTCAGGGACACTGGCGCTCCGACCGCATTTGGGGCAGGATCCCTGAGAGTGGTGGCCGCGTCAGGTTCTGGGGACGGGAGTGGATGCCGAGTGCCGGATGCGGGCTGCAGGCCAGGGCTTCAGTCCAGCTTCTTGTTGTTGTCTGCGTTATGCACAGAAGTGAAAAAGTCGATGATGAGCTTGGCCGTCTTCCTGGGTCTCTCCATCACCACCGAGTGCCCGCAGTTTTCTAGAAGCTCCACTTGGCAGTTGGCGATCGACTTGGCCAACATGTCTGCCCCAGACACATCGAGGACCTGCCCGGAGAGGGAGGGAGAGAGACGGGACACTCTGTGAAGACCATTCCCACTGAGACCTGGCAGGGGTCAGGTTGTTGGGACCAACGGAAGGACCAAGTCACTTCAGGGTGCCATTGATGGCGCCCTGGTGGAAGTGACCAGCATGTCTCCTGTTTGATTCTGGGACCCGGTATCAAGAATTAGCTCACGGCCAATGAGACTTTGGTGGAAGGGACACAGTGCCTTCTGGGAGGAGGTTATGGTCTGGTGGGGAGGCAGACAGGTCAACAAACAAATGCAGAATGATGTGACAGTGGCTCTGCTAGGGGAGGATCCTGGAGGCTGGCAGCCCAGGGGAGGAGCCGAGAAGAGGAAGACATTGTTCTTACTGAATCCTGCA